AAGTTAGCTTCTTGAATAGACACAAGCTGTTATAAATAATTGGCTTATCTAAATTGATGTATTTTACAAGGCCATGTAACTTAACGCTACCAATTTTGGTCCAACTGATTTATGAGTGCTAGAAGGATGGAATTCCCTAGTACTCACGTGTGTGGTTTGGTTCTCAATAAAATTGGTCAGACTTGGTGCCAGAGTAAATTTTAGTTACCCTAAGGTAAAACTTTCGGACCCAGTTTGCCTGGTAAAGGAGCAATTTACTTTGGAACCTCTCTGCCCGTGGCTGAGCAATTTCTTAGGAAATTGACTTTGCTGCCACTGGGAACTATAGAGGGGAGAAAATTGCTTTTGGCAGAGGCAGAACAATTAGATCATAAAATGTTGCAAAGCAAACCCCTACCTGACATGTCCCTGAATAAAGAACCAGAACCAGATGAGAAGTGCAGTGCGTTTAAAATCAACCAATCATTTAAGATTGCACTTGACAGACCTGAGAATCCTAAAGTGACCCATGACAGTGTTCTCCCACATAGGGAAAACAATTCTGAGAAAGTGCCTGTGGGACAATATGTGGAGAAAGGCATCCGCTCTGATATCTTAAAGAGGGATGCATCCAGAGAGGGTCGGAAGGCGGAGAGGAAACTGCCTATCCTTTCCCCAAATGAGATGGTGAAGCCCCGAGCCAGAAAGAGAGCAGGCTTCACTATAAAACAACCAGCTGACGACATCCAGGGGTCAACCGAGTGGCTGATGACCGCCAGAAGACAGAAGAGGTTGCGGAGGAAGGAGCCTGTGGAGGACAGAGGGACTCCTGAATGCCAGCAGTCATGTGTCCAGCTGAAGGAGGCGGTAGCATACAGACCAGTCTACAGCGCACCTGGTTACCACCGTGAGTTCAACCTTTTTACAGATGCTTCGAGCTATAGACTTGGAGAGGTGCAGTGCCTTGCAGATGACTGCGGGAGTGAGTCTGTTTTAGACTTTGCAACCTTGGACTTTGCGAAAGAGTCTCAGATAGTGCCTCAGAAGCCAAATGACTGATGGAAGGGAGATGGGCACTTGTAAATATGATTAAAAATTTAATATCCATGAACAGGAACCGGAAAAAATGATACTGGACTTTAATTATAAACTAAAATGGACTTGATTCACAGTTTAATTATGTAAAAATTTATTGATTGCAATTTATGTAAGGTTGGAAATGATAATTAAAATTAATAATAAAATGTAAATGATAAGGTATGTTGTTGAAATTGTTAAAATGTTTAGAGTAATAAGAATGGAAATAGTTATATTGAATAATTTTACCTGTTGAACTGTTAAATGTTATGTAAGGTATGCACCTGTGCCTGTTTGTTTAGGAGGAAAAACATGTTTCCCCTCCCAAACAAACATAGTTAAGGGGGGAGGTCTGTAGCGTTCTCTATTTATTTGATCTATGGTCTATGTTATATTATGTAATGCAGTGGTCCCCAACCTTGGCCCTCCAGATGTTCTTGGACTACAACTCCCAAAAGCCTTTACCACCACCTCTGCTGGCCAGGATTTATGACAGTTGAAGTCCAAGAACTTCTGGAGGCCAAGGTTGAGGACCACTGATGTAATAGTTTAGGTTTGTTATGTAATATAATGGTTTATGAATATTCATGTTGCTGAGAGGCGGAGTCAAGAGAGATGCTATAAGAGGCGGGGTCAGAGAATCAGAAGGAAGATTAAGTAGATTGAGTCAGTTAGAGAAATGTAAGAGTCAGGCAAGAGAGAAAAGCCAGACAAATAGTGTGTGTAGTTTGGGAAATTTAGGTGTGATTAGCTACTGAAGATATTTATGAATCTCTGTAATCAATAAACCAAAGTTTTATTTAAAAGAACTTGAAGCATGTACTTCTGGGAGTTCTCGGTCCACATACTGCTGAAGGCTACCTTGTAGGATTTTGAGCATAACCTTGCTAGCGTGTGAAATGAGTGCAATTTTACGGTAATTGGAACATTCTTTGGCACTGCCCTTCTTTGGGATTGGGATGTAGACTGATCTTTTCCAGTCGTCTGGCCACTGTTGAGTTTTCCAAACTTGCTGGCATATTGAGTGAAGTACCTTAACAGTGTCATCTTTTAAGATTTTAAACAGTTCAACTGGAATGCCATCACCTCCACTGGCCTTGTTGTTAGCCATGCTTTCTAAGGCCCTCTTGACTTCACTCTCCAGGATGTCTGGCTCAAGGTCAGCAACTATTCTATCTGGGTTGTCCGGGACATCCAGATCTTTCTGGTATAATTCCTCTGTGTATTCTTGCCACCTCTTTTTGATGTCTTCATAGAATTGATCAATTTCAGCCTCTTCAGCACCGGTGGTTGGTGCATAAACTTTGGTTACTGTGATGTTGAAAGGTCTGCCTTGGATTTTTTTTGAAATGTCATTTTCGAGATTGTATCCCATACAGCTTTTCCCACTGCTTTGTTGACTATGAGGGCTACTCCATTTCTTCTACAGGATTCTTGCCCACAGTAGTAGATATAATTGTCTGAATTGAATTCGCCCATTCCCATCCATTTTAGTTCACTGACACCCAGGATGTCAATGTTTGCCATCTCCTGTTTGACCACATCCAGCTTCCCAAGGTTCATAGATCTTACATTCCAGGTTCCTATGCAGTATTTTTCTTTGCAGCATCGGACTTTCCTTTTACTTCCAGGCACGTCCACAGCTGAGCATTCTTTTGGCTTTGGCCCAGCCACTTCATTAGCTGTGGAGCTACTTGTACTTGTCCTCCGCTCTTCCTCAGTAGCATGTTCGACGCCTTCCGACCTGAGGGGCCCATCTTCCAGCGTCATATCTTTTAGCCTTTTGTTTCTGTTCGTGGAGTTTTCTTGGCAAAGATACTGGAGTGGCTTGCCAGTTCCTGCTCCCGGTGGATTGTCTTTAGTCAGAACTCTCCACTATGTCCTGTCTGTCTTGGGGGTCCCTGCATGGCATAGCCCATAGCTTCTTTGAAGTACTCAAGCCCCTTTGCCACAACAAGGCAGCAATCAGTGAACGGGATGTATATCCTATCCTATACTATTTAGTACAGATCAGATTATCCCATCTTTAAGACAAAGAGATAGTTCAAGTCTTTGTGTCAAATCCAAATTTAATGCCAACTGGAATAGACTAGTTACTGTAGGTGACTAGTAAGTCCTATTCATTTAAAAGAGACTGCTCTAACTGAAATTAATATTGGATTTAGCCTCTTGTTCTTGAGTAAGATCTTGTCTCATGTTAAAGATAGCAGTGAGGTTGCCAACAATACTTTACATCACACAATAAGTATTGGTGTATCCAGATCCTCTCTTAACATTGTACTCCTCTCCAGTTTATTCATAGGTAAATTCCCCTCTACCAGTGACCCTTACCCCCAGGCAGCCTCTCTCTAAGGTGCCATAGGACTGGACATTGCTCGAGCTACTCTTGGGATCCCCAAACTTATTTCCCCTAACAACTGTTTCTATAGTGTTTACTCAGAGGCTAATACAGTACCATGATTTCCAATGGAAGTTTTCAAAACAGCAGCAGTGTTGCTAATCCGTGCAAACACAAACAAAAAAAAAACAGCTAACAAATACCAAGCAAACGTGCAGCAAGTAGAAACTTATTGTTACATTTCAAGGTGAGATTTTGTGGACACAGACAACTTGTCTGAAAAAAGTGGATGCAGCCACAAAAGCTCGCGTTGAAATGCAACGGTCTTAAAGGTGTCATAACATTTTTGTTCGTTACCTGTTTTTATTTTTATTTGGATATGTCTACAAGAGGACTTTTCCCCAGGTCCAGAGGACCAGGATTGGAGCCCTTAATTTTTTTAAAAACACACACATAAAGCTACAGTTCTCGGCATGCAGCCAGTCAACACAGGCGCCGTTAACTCGTTTCTATAATTGGCGTAATTTGACAGCGTTTTTCATCGCCTCCTAACGGCAGGCTGGGAAACATAGTACTGTACTTTATGAAACACACGGGGCGGGAAAGAGCGAGCCCAGCGCTCCATCCCTCGCCCTGTTCCCTCTCGGCTCTTCTGGCGCCAAAAGCCATCGCTCGGAGTGACAAAGGAAAGTCACGGTACCCCCTTCCTTCGCCGTTGCTAAGCGACCCCGGAGAAGGCGTATTCGGCAGGCAAGACTACCGGGGGGGGGAAGAGACAGTAGGTATCACGTCGTATGAGACACATCTCTCTCCCCCCCCCCTTTAGGCAACGGCACCTCTCGAAGTGTAACGTTGCTGACCCGGACGTGACGGTGTCTGGGCGCCCCTTTTGAACAGGGCGGGACCAGAAGTGGGCGAGGGAAAGCCTCGCGAGCGGATCGGGGATTCCCCGCCCTTTCCCGCCCAGAAAGAACGGAAGCGGCTCACGTGATCCGCGAGAAACCTCCCCGTGATCCGGGCCGGACGAGGAGGGGCCGCTATGGCTACCGCGCTGGATATCAAGATCAAAAGGGCCAACAAAGTGTATCATTGCGGGGTGAGTCTTCCGGGGGCGCCTTGGTATTAGGAAGAGCTGGGTGTGTGTGTCGGATGAAAACGAAGTATTGGCCGCTTGCTTTTTTCGGGCAACGGCTGCTATGCTAGAAACCCCCCCCCTCCATTAGCCCTACAGGGAGGGAGGGAGGCCGGCCGACCAGCTAGCTTAGGAGTTTCCTTCTCCTCGGTTCAGGGAGCGGACCTCGGCTCCTTCCAAATAGCAGCCGAGGCGGTAGAGCGTTTTCAGCTGCCGGGCTGCGGCCGATGGCTGGGCTGTTGAAATGCTTCCGGGGTGGAGGAGGGAGATTGCTCGTTCCTCTGGCTTACAGAACTACCGTTGCAAGGAAAGAGAAACTCTAAAATCTTAATATATGGCGGTCAGGGAGAAGTTATGTAGGCCTTTTTGCAGTGGAAGGGGATATGGCCATTTGTTTATTTTAAATGTTTGCACTGTTTCTTGTTAAAGAGGTTCATTTCCTCGTGTGATTTCTCCACTTATTGTGCTGTCAGGCAGATAGTTACTGTGTCATCAGGCATTTTGCCTGATATAGTATTGGCATTATAGCAAAAACATAGTTTGTATGCCAGCTGCATTAGAAGCTGAGAGTGATTTCTTCCTGAATGTTATTAATAATACAGATTTCTATAGCAATTCATAAGCAAAAGGGAATGTTTGATTTTATAACAAATATCGCCCTTGCTCATTAAACCTATATGCACATTCTAAACCGCTGAGCTATCCAGTCAGCTAAGCCTGTCATTTATGGCAACACACTTGATTGATTGTAATTTTACCTTGCCTTCTCCATTAAAAATGCCCCAAAGTTGCTTACATCATTAAAATATAATAAATACTTCAAGCAAAAAACAAGTATACAAATATTAAAAAGGATCAAGCAAATACCAGTTGAAATACTGTACAACAAAAGCAATACTAAAAACATTCAAAACAGTAAGCCACAGCAATCCATTTTAAAAATACTGTAGCACTTGGTCAGCCAGTCACTGAGGGAAGGCTTGCCTGAAGAGAAAGCTCTTTGCTTGCTTGCAGAACAACTGCAAAGATGGGGCCAGCCTGGCCTCCAGTAGGAGGGCGTTCCTAAGTCTGAGAGCAGCAACACACAAAAAAACACATTTTGATAGCAACAAGTAGGCTTGAAAACAGTTTGATATGTCTCACCCAGTACTTTTATGTGTCCCAACAAAATTGTTTCAGAATCCAGTGATATCTAACTACCTACGCTCAAACAGAGTTTGTCAAAAGAAATGTATTTTCAATAAAACTACCTGTGCAAGATCACTCCCTCCCAAGTCTAGATTTCCATAGAAAAAATGAATCCGCTCATGTTTTTTGTAAGCCTCTTTCCTCAGAACCTAAACAAAACCTTTTCCCCAAGCTGGCCATGCTTTAATGTCTGAATGTGTCTCAGGGTAGATGATCTTTCTTTGTGAAGGTTTGAGATTTGAGATGTATTCCAAAGCATTCTCCATCTTCACATACGGTGATTTTGAGAAATAGTGTGGGATGTGAAACAGTTCTTGGATTGTTACTCATAGCATTGTTTCAGGACCATTTTTAGTCAAAGGCTTTAAGCATACAATGATCCAGGCATCAAATGTCAAAATAACTGTTTGGTTTACTTAGTGCCACTCTCAGAATGCATTATTATTTTTTACATGGAGTTTCTAGGTACAGTAAAGGAATTTACCAATATATCTCATTAATAATGAACCACAATCTCTCTGATACACAGTCTTGTTTTACTTAGGAAGCCATCTGTCACTTTGATTAGATGTTAAGTCTTGTCCGACTCTTCGTGACCACATGGACCAGAGCATGCCAGGCCCTCCTGTCTTCCACTGCCTCCCAGATTTTGTTGAAATTCATGTTGGAAGCTTCGATGACACTGTCCAACCATCTCGTCTTCTGTCGTCCCCTTCTCTTCTTGCCCTCACACTTTCCCAACATCAGGGTCTTTTCCAAGGAGTCTTCTCATTAGATAGCCAAAGTATTGGAGCCTCAGCTTCAGGATTTGTCCTTCCAGTGAGCACTCAGGGTTGATTTCCTTCAGAATGGATAGGTTTGTTCTCTTTGCAGTCCAGGAGACTCTTGTCTCCTCCAACTCCATAATTCAAAACCATCAATTCTTTGGCGATCAGGTTTCTTTATGGTACAGCTCTCACTTCCATACAACACTACTGGAGAAACCATAGCTTTGACTATGTCGGCAAGGTGATGTCTCTGCTTTTTAAGATGCTGTCTAGGTTTGTTATTACTTTCCCCCCAAGAAGTAGTTGTCTTTTAATTTCGTGGCTGCCCTCGCCATCTAGGTGTCATTTAGGCTCTGTGGAGGGTGTCTTCTGAAGAAATATGACTTACAAGAAGCATTATAGCAGCTTGCTTTTAAAAAATAACAATAACAACAAATATGGTGGAAGTGTTGGAGGTAAATAACCTGAAAGTCCTTTTGTACAAATGTGAAATCTAGAGATCTGCAGATCTGTGATTGTGGGCTGCAGCTTGCAGAACTCTGCCTGGGGAATTAGTGGAGAATTCAGGGCTTGCTGAACACATACAGTGGGGTCTTGACTTGAGAACTTAATCCGTATTGGAAGGCGGTTCTCAAGTCAAAAAGTTCTTAGGTCAAATCTGCATTTCCCATAGGAATGCATTGAAAACCATTTGATCCGTATCTGCTCTTTTCCGTCCATAGAAACTAATGGGAAGCTGCTATTCTGCCTTCGACCACTAGAGGGGGATATTTTGTTTCTTTTTTTCTTAGGTCAAGAAAGGTTCAGGGAAGGCAGGGAAAATACAGTCCAGGCAGTACCAGTACCAGGCAGTCCGAAGGCTGTCTCCCAATCCACTCTCTAAACGCTGGGAGGAGTGAGGAAGCAGACAGGCACCCTTTTCACTGGCCAACAGTTAACTGAAAGTTCACATTTTGCACTTTCCCTGCCTCCAACGTGGTTTTTTTTCAGTTCTTAACTCAAATCTAAGTATGTAAGTCAAGTCAGTATTTTCCTATGAGAGTGGTTCTTAAGTCAAAATGTTCTTAACTCAAGCCGTTCTTAAGTCAAGACCCCACTGTATCTAGTTCTAACTGTTGTTTCCTGTCTCACATATAGATTTGTCACGAGATAGATAAGGTGGTTAGGGCACAAATGTGACACAAATGAATGTTGATAAAGTTTTGTTTATACCATTTTTTTATTCTGGAGAGTTCTAAATCATGGTATTGTAAGGTGAAAAAGCAGGAAGAGACCGATGAACAAAGGAGATCTGCAGTTTGCACTGGTTGTTACTATTTAGCAATGCTGCATAACAGGGGAGATGGGACAGATGAATGCCGGATAATTATGTGCCCTGTACTGTTTGCTATGCTGTCCTTTCCCCTGTTGGTGGATGTTGCTTTTGAGAAGCTTTATGACCTCTGGTTGCCACTGAACCTAGAGAAACAGATGTATTTCATGTTCTTTTTTATTTTTCTCCACTTAGGAAGTGCTCACTGGAGTGGTTGTCATAACAAGTAAAGATGCCATCCAGCACCAGGGAATTTCATTAACAATGGAAGGGACTGTAAACCTACAACTGAGTGCCAAAAGTGTTGGAGTGTTTGAAGCCTTCTACAATTCAGTAAAGGTACACATAGTTTAAAAAACTATCTTGAAAAACTTTCCCAAGCCTGTTAGTTATACTGTATGTGTAACATCAAAGCATCATGTGAAGGTTTAATTGATTTCAGCTCTTTGTTTGGTGCTGCTAAGGTTTAAACAAACAAAAGTACTTTATAAAACGTGATCCCAGATACACTTACTGTCTTAGCCAGAGAATGCAGGGTGACCATATCTCGGTTTATGACAATACATATACAATTATCCCATTTCTAATTACATAAATATGAACAGAAGTAGTTTTTCATTTCAACATTGAGAAATAGAAAGAATGCACTCCTAGGCAATATTAAATATCATGCATTGCTGTTCGATTAGAGAAATACAAATTATCTGACATCCTCCATTATTTGTTTTTTATACAAGGCTATGCGCTTCCGGGAATTGCCGTTCAGCTTCCTAAGTGTTCTGCATTCAAACTTTTACTACAAGAAACTACAAAAAGATGCTAATCTTGGGACCAGTTGTGTGGAAGAGGGTGGGATCCCCATCAGTGAGGTGTCCAGTCACTCCCTGGGACCCACCAATTTCCCTGGGACCCACTCTCTGGGACCCACCAACATCTAGCTCTCAGTAGACCTAGGAGAAACTATGGTGGACTGTGTAAGCCAGGAATCGGGAGAGAGCTTGAGAGATGATAGAAGTCTCAAAAAGGAAGACAAAGAGGGAAAGGTGGAACAGTCAGGGGGAGCGGGAAAAGACTCAAAGGAAATGAGGGATATAAAGGAGGAATTGGTGGGAATAGGGAGGAGGAAGATAAGGGATGTGCTGGAGGGAGCAAATGGAGGCTTTGGAGCTAACAACTCAAAAAAAGGGAGAAACTTAGAGCCTGCTGTGGAAAAGGAGGAGGTAAAAGTGGAGGAAGAGAGCACCTGAGAAGTCACTGCAGAAACCCATGGTGAGGTTTTCCTCTTGGAAGCAGAGTCAAAGGAAACCTCTGATATGCTCAGGAGTGAGCTTGAGTTAAGGAAGACTGGGGAAATTGGTGCAGCTGAGGTGTAGAAGAAGCAGAGAGTCAGCATAAAGCCCAACCCCCTGCAAATCATCTTATTGGTGAGAGAGGGATTGGAGGGAGAAGAGATGCCAGGCCCTAGAAGCTAAAAAGAGGGGAGAATATAGAGATAATAACAAATTCTGGAGAGGTCCAAAAGTGGTTTGTCAGACCCCTAAATCATGACATCACCGGGAAAGCTACCAAGGAGCCTTTGAGTGTGTATTTATTGTGGGCATATAGACCATCACTGCTACAACCCTACCCTTGCCTAACCTTCTTGGGAAGGATACATGTAAGACAAAGTGACCTTGATGCTGTAAGATTGAAACCAAAATCCTCCCAAGAGAGAACCTAATCTCAAGTTGCTGGTATTGACAATGTACCTGTTCAGTCGATAAATCTAGTTCATTTGCATGAACCCAGGTCTCTTCTTGTGGACAGAATAATGGATGACAGCAGTCTTCCTAGGCCCCTTGGATTGATTTCATTTCTATATCATGCCATCCAGTGGCAGGCCACTACTCTGGGCAGTTTTCAATATTGAATAAACATAAAAGACAACTGTCCCCCATTCAAGAGAATTGGGAGGAACTGGACTGATATATTTCAATAAAGTCAGGAGCTTATTCTTCCCACATTGCTGTGCCTTTCTATAAGCCACATACTGTGTGAGTTTCTTAATGGTCATGAAGAAACTTGGGCCTGGGAGGGCTCATTGGTGGACATCTTACTGCCAGTAACAGATATTGAGAGGTGCTGAGGGCAAAGCCTCAAAATCAAATGAAAGGTCCTTCTCATTGGTTCTAGACTAGTCCCTGCAGTCCAAAACAAGCAGGAACATGTATTCTTCTATTTGATGCTGTGTTTCAATAGTCAGCTGGTTTCTCCTAGCCTGTTTTATTGTCATTTCTCAACGATCTGAACATTGCTTTACAGAAACTGAGTAAAAATTTATTAACTAACATAATTGTTTAAAGTAGTTTTATAATAACACTGGGAAATTTAAAGTTTGTTCCATCAAAAGTCTTTAAAGATCACAAAAGAAGTTGAACTAAGGAGGGTGATTCCATGAGTTAAGGGCTGTTCAGATCTGGATGTCAAGATGTGTTCAGTACTGTGTGCACTGAGGGTTCTTCATACGACTGAGCAGTGCAATGATAAGTGCCGCTAAATAGCAGCAAAATTGCAAATGTAAACAGGCCATTTTTCTAACATTTTGTGGGGTTTTTTGGGGGGGGTTAATAGTTGACAAATACACATGTATGCATGTGTTAGAACTGTAATGCTAAACATGTTTACTGAGTATAGTAAGCCCCATAGAGTTTATTTGTGTACAATGTAATGTGAGTATAGGATTGCAACCTCAGAACCTTTAAAGTGAATAAGCAAGATTGCTGCTCTGTCTCTTACATGCCTATGGTAAGTATGCATTTTCAAATATTCGGCTGATTTGTTGCTTATGTCTGATGTTGCTTTAATTCTCTTAAATGTCTGTGTTTTCTTCTTCGTTTAATAGCCTATACAGCTTATTAATAATACTGTGGAAATGGTAAAGCCTGGAAAACTTCCCAGTGGTAAAACAGAAATTCCTTTCGAGTTTCCATTGCAAGTGAAGGGAAACAAAATCCTCTATGAAACTTACCATGGAGTTTTTGTCAATATACAAGTAAGAGATGGATAAATTGGTGTTGTTAGCAAAGTATTTTTTATATCAGCATCGTTATCAAAGCATAGTCTGGGAACTTATGGCCTGATGTCTCAATTTGCCTGCAGAGACTTCTCGGGTGGTTGTGCTCCTGCCTCTTTGCACAAGGCAGAGGGGCAGCAGAGGGGACTCCTGACTGAGCCACGGTCTCAAGGAGTACTCTGCAAGGCTGCAGCTCAATGCCACTGCACCTTGTCCTTTAAGTAATCTTTAAGATTCACTGGATGAGAAGTGTACGTGTGTGAACATACATATGTGCATGCATGCTAGGAAAATATGTATATACTATGTATATACTAAGAAACATGCACAGTGGTGCCTCGCAAGACGATTGCTTCGCATAACGATGGATTTGCTTTACAATGAGGTTTTTGGAGCCATCTTGCGCTTGGTTTAATGATGTTTCCTATGGGTGATTTTCGCTTTACGATGTTAGGGACCTTGCTTCGCAAGACGGTTAAATTTTAGGTCCCTGTTTTTCGCTTTATGATGTTTCTGACAGCTTGGTCTTGCTTCGCTATACAAGTCTTTTAATGGTCTCTATTTCATTAGACGGCTGTCTTCGCTTGGGAACCGCGTTTCGCTTAACAGTGTTTCCTATAGCAATTTTCCCATTGGAATGGATTACAGTATCAGGTTTTCAATGCATTTCAATGGGAAACCGAGTTTTGCAAGATGATGTTTTCGCTTAACAGCGATTTTCGTGGAACGAATTAACATCGTCTTGCGAAGCACCACTGTACATGATCTGTGCCAAGACCAGATAAAAGGAACCTCATTAAAGCGACAGCTAGCATAAGGAGTGACATCTGAAAACGTTATACAGATGCAGACACACCACCATTTAAAAGGCACTTGTGGTAACCTGAAATTGAAAGAGTAATATGTATTCTTGCTGTCTGTATATTTATCTCCAAAGAACATCTCTTGGTCTGTAGGATTTTTCTTCCCCTTACCTGCTATTTCTGATATCTTTTTCCTCCCATTTTCAGGTAACAAACATACTAGGCATATATATATTAGTAATTTCATAATGTGAATTTCAGTAATAGGTTCTTTATTATAATATATTTTTGGAAAAGCACCTTATTTATTAATATGCATTGGACCCCTCTCATTTACTGTAAGCCCATTATTTCAATATGCAGTTCAAATTTCTATTTTGCTTTTATCTTCTCTTGTTCCCTCAGAAATTCCAAATAATCCAATGAATAATTTATATTTTAAGGTGAAATATATTGATAGAATGTCACCCAGAAGCCACTGGTAATGGAGCGGCTAGCTAGCTAAATAAATAAATAAATAAATAAATAAATAAATAAATAAATAAATAAATAAATAAATAAATGTGTCTTAGACTTGTTCTGCTTCTTTCTTTTTGTTGTTGAGAATTTTGTACTAATTAACACTATTTGAAAAAGATGGAATCATTTATACATCAGTAATTAACTGTATTTCAGCTAGACTTTAGAGGACTCATTGCATTGACAATATGAATCTGCTACCAGGGCCCCCTGGTTAAAATACGTATTCATACTGCTATACAGTGGTGCCTCGCTTGACGAGGATAATTCGTTCCGTTCAAATCACTGTTAAGCGAAATCCTCGTCAAGCGAAATTTAAAAACCCATTGAAATGCATTGAAAACCAGTTCAATGCGTTCCAATGGGCGAAATACCTGCTCCTTTTGTGAAGATCCTCCGTAGGGCAGCCATTGTCTGGTGCCTGTAAAGCGAGGAATCCGTCCTAAAGCACAGCGGGGAGCCATTTTGCACAGTGAGCGCCCATTATAGAGCTGCTGATCAGCTGTTTTAAAATCATCGTCTAGTGAAAAATGGGTTCCCGAAGCAAGGAACTGATCATTGTTAAGCGACTTTCCTCATAGGAACATCGCAAAAACTTCATCGTAAAGCGGTTTCGCCATTTAATGAGGTAATCGTTAAGTGAGGCACGACTGTATAGCCCTGACCTTGAATGAATGTATTCGTTTCACGTTCCCTGTGAATCCAGCAAGCAAATTTGTCTATTCCTATTACTATTATTACTGCTATATTAATCTGGTCACATTGGGCATTTATAGTGAGTATAAGATGTGAGGAACAGTCAGAAAATAAAGTGTTAGTAATGGACAGTCTTACTTTATGGTGCAAAAAATGTAAATTTTCCTCCTCCCTTTTCAACAGTATATCCTTCGATGTGACATGAGGCGCTCTCTCCTTGCCAAGGATTTGACTAAGACTTGTGAATTTATTGTCCACTCACCAGTAAGTTTTTCTTCTGTGTTTAGTTACCTGAGACTTGGGTATTTCCATGTTCAGTTAGTAATATATTCATTGTACTGTATTGAAATCACTCAAAAGATCCTTCTTAAGATCATCCAATAAAGCTAATGAATACATTTAATCAGATTTTTGGAGTAACCAAATATATCTAATTGATACCCTGTAATACAAGAAATTCCTAATATAAGAAAGATTTATTTTTTTTCAAATTTATATTACCAAAAATATTTGCTATGAGCTATGAAATTTTGCAGTGAAAAATTGCCATGTAACAATAAATACTGTAAAATTAGTATGATGTCCATTTGTATTAAAGGGCCATGGTACTGCCACTTTAGTTAAGGCAGGTTGCCAACAACAAAGCTTACTGACAAACTTCAAAATTCCATTTTTTGAACTGAAGACAACTATTTAGTTAATAGCTTGAAAAAGGAACATCCATGATCTTCTTCATAAGGCTTGCATCTGCACCAGATTGCAAGCAGATGCGACAAGAGTTGTTACAATACAAGTAGAAGTGCTTCAATTAGTTACCTGTGTTCCTTTATTTCCTCCAGTTTCAGCCAGACATCTCATATTTTGATTACACTTTAAAGAAGGGTAGTGATTCACTTCATTCAGGCTTTTTGAGGAAGGCAGTTTTTATTGGCTGAAATCCTGTTGCTTAGCGTAAATTGCACTAGAGCAGGCCCATTGAATCAGGGAGGATTTGGTGAGTCAAGTCCACTATAAATTCCATTAATTCAAATGGGTCTACTCTTACTTGCAGCTTTAGAATAATAGGTTGCAACTAGAGTGGGCCCCTTTGAGTTGGTATGGTAGAAACCAAGAGAATTTCCGCCATGGGTTTGGTGAAGTTCTGAACAACAGCTCAAATGTTGCTGTGTTGCTGTGTCTTTTTGCCCCATTTAACCTTGTAATGGCAGTTGTTGCCAAAATTATCTTATGCTTGCTCTGTTTCATTATGCTAGAATGCTTCCAGTGTTTTGGGAAGGATTCCAACTTCCAAAGGAAGTGTTGAATTCTGTGTGCAAAGCTTATTCTTTTGTTTTCATAATGTGACCTCACAATCATGCTACATATTACTCCATGGATTAAACCGTAATGTGGGGAAATGGGATCTATAACCCTGGTTTGAAAGAGGGCCAGGGAAGCTATAGCCATCCAGAATTTCTGGGACTGAAAGTGCCATCATCTCCAACATTGGTTATGCTGGTTGGGGCATTGTAGCACATTAGCATCTCAAGGGGCTTAAAGTTCCTGTGGACTACTCTGGTACTATGGAAGATTTTCTCTGGAAGTTATATGCTCAGTAACAGGTGCTAACAGGTGCTTATTGGGGCTGAAGAAGATGCCTGTTAATGCATTCAGAGTAGTGTGTGCCATTGAGTCCGGCCATTACATCAGTTTGTAAGAAGGTAATAGAAAGTTACATTGGAAAGAAAATAGATTTGAAAGTGGGAGGGGAACGACAAAAGAGAAGTCATGTAACTCCTTTGGGGCTCCAAGAAAACAGGATTGTAGTCTCTTAAAGGATAGTTACGTATTTTTTTTTAATATTCTGTGCTAAAACTGGAATTTAAAACAACAAACTACAACACACAATACTTACTGTGCTGTAGTGGATAGAGTGATGGACTAGGACTCTGGTGACCAACATTCAAATCCTTGCTCAGCCATGGAAACTTGCTAAGGGGAGTGGAACTGTAAAACCACTCCTTCAATATCTCACTTACCTTGAGAGCCCTGTTTAGGTTGCTATAATTCGGTCCCAACTTGACAGCACAGAACAACAACAATGCTAAAACGGTTGATTGTTGCTGCTGTGCATAAGGGGAGTGCCGTCCTAGTCAATTCCTCTGCTGTAGGCTTGAATATAAGCTTCTTAATACAGTGGTGCCTCGCGTAGCGATAATCGGTGCAGCAAAAATCGCTGCAAAGCGATTTCGTCGCTATGCGATATTAAAAAGCCCATAGGAATGCATTGAAACCCCTTCAATGCGTTCCTATGGGCTTCAGACTCACCTTTAAGCGAAAATCCTCCATACGGCAGCCATTTTCGCTGCCCGGTAACTGAGGAATCTGTCCTAGAAAACAGTGGGCGGCCATTTTTTTAACCCGGTGGCCATTTTGGAACTGCCAATCAGCTGTTAAAAATCATCGCTTTGCGATGATCGGTAAGCGAACCAGGGTATCGATCATCGCAAAGCAATTTTTCCCCATTTAAAACATTGCAATGCGATCGCAAAAAGTTAATCGTTATGCAATTTCGTTGTTAAACGGGGCGCCTGTTAAGCGAGGCACCATTGTAATTAAATATCATGGAAGGTTTCTCTTGTAGAGGTTTCCTTTTAGGCTGGTGAGAGCATGTGTCAGATAGTGCTACTGCCACGTAGAAAGTCAAGTATATGGCTGATAGCTGCCTCCTGTCAAAGCCATCTTCTGGCAAGAACTACAGTTCCTGTAGAGACCCATTCTGTTTCTTCTAACACATGAAAATACATAACTTTTCAACCTGCTTAAGTGGAATACTAAAATTAGAATTCTAACCCTGTTGCAGCCTCAGAAAAGTAAACCAACTCCAAGCCCAGTGGATTTTACGATTACTCCTGAAACTCTACAGAATGTGAAAGAGGTAAGAGCCTATGATGTTGAAAGCAGTATGATTTCTCCTTCTGTACCTTGACAAAAAATGAGTTGGTTTAGATGTTGCACCAAGCCATGGATTGGCTGTGTGCTGCCATTGCCTTCATCCTTCTCACCCTCACCCACATGTTCCATTTTCTTTTCTCACTCCTTTATTGGCATGCCACAGCTTTTCCTTACATCTGGGCAAATCCAGTCATTAGAGAAGACATACTGAACCCATGGGGATGTCAATACTGATGTAAGTTCCATTGTTTCAAGTGTGGCTTGCAAGAAGAATGAAATTTATGCAAATCGTAGTTTAACTGAGTTCTGATTAAAATAAAATTACTAAGTCAAAGAGCAAAAAAAATGACATTTTTGTGGGGGGATAAAGAATATAAGCATGAGGCTTATTAAGTTTTGGTGCTACATAGAGACCAACTATTGTGGAGAATGGTAAACAGAGATCCCTCTGCTATGTTCTTCTTGGTTTTATTCCTGCCGATTCAACCAGTACAATAGAATACTTTTTTAAAAAAAAGTTATATTTCCTGATAACCTTTTGTTGTGTGTGTGTGTGTCTGTCTGTGGGAGTTGTACAGTGGTGCCTCACATAGCGATCGCTCCGTTGAGCGATGAAATCGCTTAGCGACGGAGTTTTTGTGATTACAAAAGCGATCGCTTTGCGATGGTCCCTATGGGGTTTTTTTGCTTTGCGATGATCGCGGGGAAGTGATCATGGCAAAGCGACCCTTTTTTAACAGCTGATCGGTGGTTTCAAAATGGCCGCACGGAGTTTTTGTGATTACAAAAGCGATCGCTTTGCGATGGTCCCTATGGGGTTTTTTTGCTTTGCGATGATCGCGGGGAAGTGATCATGGCAAAGCGACCCTTTTTTAACAGCTGATTGGTGGTTTCAAAATGGCCGCCCGCTGTTTTTCCTCGCTTAAGAGGCAGCGAAAATGGCGGCGCTATGGAGGATTTTCACTTAAAGGTGAGTTTTAAGCCCATAGGAATGCATTAATCGTGTTTTAATGTGTTTCTATGGGCTTTTTAATTTCGCTTAGCAATGTTTTCGCTTAGCAACATTTTTTCCGGAACAGATTAACGTCGCTAAGTGAGGCCCACTGTATTGCCCTTCCTAAGGGAAATCCTCAATAATACTACGTATTCAGATTTGATATCGGGAAAGATTTTACTGTATAGATAGAATCTTGATTCCCAGATCTGCCAGTCTGTCTTTATCTGTCCCTTGTGCCCTGCCCATCTTTGGTACCATGGATAGAGAGGTAACATGGTAGTTGTCTCTTTCTGAGAGAGGAGGAAAAATAATGCTGTTTGTCAAACCTAAACTGATGCTATTTGTGAAACCGAAAATCTTCAACCCACAGGGAAATGTTGCTGTTACTGAGGCATCAATGACTATGCAACATTCTCCACATGTACCATCTTATTTGCTTGGCTAGTAACCAACATAATTCAGAAGGAAGAGTAAAAGCTAGACACGTTTAACAGATCTAGGACAAAGGGTCAGGGGTTAAATAGATTGTATAGAATAAATACTTACAGCCCAGAAAAGCAACCAAGTTGACACTGCAAAGAGAAAACAATACCCTTTGTTTGGGGCAAGCAAAAGTCTCTGCTCATTAGGCAATTTTTTTCCTGGTAAGCCATGTAAAAGTCCCACAAACATTACGTCTGGGGTGGGCATCAGTATAGCAAGATGGAATGCAAGAGGTGAAGGGAGGACTCTCAGACGTGGTTCCACAGGTCCTTGTTCTAGCGCTCGCTGTAGTTTTAGATTATTGCAAATATAGTTTGTGAAGGTGTTGGGCTTTAATAATCAGTTGGCAAGATCAGTAATAAAAATATATTCAGACTAAAAATGATATAGATCTATTTAGATAAGGTTCCCTTCATTTATGTAAGACTTAAGAGATCTTTCCCAATTTATTTTACATAGTTATTGATAAAATGCCTAGCTTTCTCGGGATTGTATAGAAAAACAGGCATCTTGCAGGCATGCAGTCTAATAAGCATGCTACAAAATAGAGATAGGGACAGAACAGAAAACTCTCAGCCTCGGGTGCTAAGTCTTTGGAACACTGTTGTCACGTCCTCTCTTATTTTTGTTTCCAGAGGGCATTGCTCCCCAAATTTCTCATCAGAGGTCACCTTAATTCAACCAACTGCATCATAACACAGCCTTTAACAGGGGAGCTGGTGGTGGTGAGCTCGGATGCTGCAGTTAAGAGCATTGAGCTCCAGTTGGTACGCGTGGAAACTTGTGGTAGGTTATTATATGTGTGTATATAGATCTAAAGTGTAGAACATGTACTATTTTAAAAGTAAAAGAAATTGCTACAATATTTTCATCTTATATGCTTAAAATTTTACTGGAACAGTTTAATATTTCTATATTGCATCTTGCTTACAGAAGAGCTATGGCAAGTTCCTTTAAGCTGCTAGAATCTTGTAGAGATAACACACATAGTTCTTAAAGAGCTAGGTTTGTGTGCTCTTAATATGCAATTGTGTGGAGTCTAATTTGTGTGCATTTAACATCACTGTGTACTAAATCTTCTAGTTTGAAACAGATGTTCTGTTTGGAAGCTTTCCCTGTATAGCGGTTTTCAGACATTGAATATATTCCTTCAAAAGGTTAACTTACTCATTCATCCCACTTTTGCAAAGGCTGTGCTGAAGGATATGCAAGAGATGCCACTGAGATTCAGAATATTCAAATTGCTGATGGAGATGTCTGCAGAAATCTACCCATTCCAATCTACATGGTATTCCCCAGGCTATTTACTTGCCCTACGCTGGAAACTACAAATTTCAAAGTTGGTAAGGAGATATGCATTTTGAATTACTATTACGTTTCACTGAAATAAAAGAGAACCATGTGGTCGGTACAAAATACAAATGAACACTAAGCAAATCATACAGTATGCGAGCTTTCGTGGATCAGGACCACTTTGTTAAGCTTGTACCAATTTGAGGAACTTAAAAGTCCAAAAGTTTATGACAAGATGGATGTTGCTGGGCACGCATTTCGTTCATATAAGTCAGGAGATAGCAGGCAGTGGTAGAGTTGTTATTTTAAAGTTACAGCTGAGACAGCTGTGGATTGGACGTCACACCCAATTCTTCAAACAAAAAGGCACTGGTTGTTTTGAAATGGTGAAATAAGGAAACTAAGTAATATTACACTGATTGCTGATGAACTAAAAGTGTTTTGACAATTGGGGAATTACATCTGGCAAGACCTCTTTCTGCCCGCAGAGCTTTCCCCTGGTAAGTCCGATTCAGTTACTGAATCGGACTTTCGATGCTGGCTGGCTGGAACAGCCTTGAAGCAGCATTCCATTTAGGTCTCTACTGGTATAAACAATTTAATAAAATGAAGGAATTCTGTAAATTTAATTGCCTTGGTTTGGGCCACATTGCCCGACTTCATTCAGAATATGTTTGCCTGAGCATCCAGTGTTTCTAGCTGAGTCTTTTAAACCTATAACCCATACATATATTTTAATAAGACAGGGCCTATGCCACTGTGCTGGTAATTTATTATGTAATTTCTACTAATATCAAGCTTGTCTTGGGTTTTTTTCTTCTAGAATTTGAAGTTAATGTTGTTGTCCTGTTGCATGATGATCACCTCATCACAGAGAACTTTCCCCTGAAGCTTGGCAGGCTGTGAATTGTCACAGTTGTTTCAGAATGTTCAGTGGGGCCAGGTGCTTCCTGACAGTTTCTGACATCATGCAAGAATCCAGTGGATTGGCACCGCAGGATCCAAGCCATGGAATCATTCTATATTCTAATTGGGTGGCAGCAATAATTAGATGTTTTGAATGATGGGGGCACAATCATATGTTTGCTGCAACTATAAAAGTGCTCTCAGAAGGCTAGTATCCAGTGAGAAAGAGATGGGATCTCTTAGTGGTACAAGGTAACAAGTATTAATAAGAGGTTGAAGAAGTGGCGCTGCTTCTGGCGAAATGCTGCATTGCATTCCAGGGAGTCCTCTTTCTTTCTAAGCTGTATTTTGGCATTTGCTTATCTCTTTGTATCAGTTTTGATAATAAGGGGTCCTGCCAGTTAAAGGAAGACTATTCTGTTCTGGGGATGTTCTGTTCTCATCTAAACTATTTCCCATCTAGGTCATGGGATTTGCTTGGACCATGCTTATTTTTGAAATAGTTACAGGTGCTAAAAGCAAGGCCTCCCTGTTAGAATATTTGTGCAGTGGTTGGAACTGCAGCTACTCAGTTTACTGCAACTAAGAAACTATATTTTCCAAAACAAGTAGCTTTCAGATTTCCTCATAATCTAGACCATCATTTTACATATAATGTTCTTTGAATGTTCATATTCAACTTCTTTGGGATACTTAGGCTAAACCATAGGATTTAAACTTTGACCAACTTTATCAGAGGATCTGCTGCAACGAGTCAATCTGATTTACATGCATGCATGAGAGCACAACCCTGCCACTAGAATTAGATGAAATTCCTCTGAGACAAAATGAGGGCAAGGCTGGCTTTTTGTAGATAGAAGAGAGGATAGAATAATTACTGTGTCATTCACTTGCCTTTTGGAAGGCATCAGCCTGTAAGCCCAGTAAATCCTGGTGTGGAATCAGCTGGTGATGGTACAAAAGTTAAAACTGGGTAGTGCACCTGTGGCATAATCCTAAAGCCTGCTTCTCTACCTGTCACTGATAGTTATTATTTTGAATCAGTCATTCAGATTCTAGATCTGGTCAGATAAATAGAGCCTGCTGAGTAGTTGCTCATCTTTTTGAAGTAGTTGAGAGCATGTCTCATTTTCCCAAGAATGCTATCTCACAGAAGATATTTATGATCGCTAAAGTGGTTGACTGACATGCATGGCGAAAGGGGTGGAAGGCAAACTAAATGTGTAGTTTGCCAGTTGCCTCTTTGCCTGAGTAAAAATGTTCTGTCTTCAAACGTGGTTTTTGTAATTTTTCCAGTTGCTTAAGAAAGCTGGACAGGATATGCTAGGTTTGGCCATCATAATTTCAACCGAAATTATTTGAAGGGTGTTACTTTAGATCTTAAAGAATAGGGAGTGCAGGACTGCTCCTATATACTTACACAACAGCAGAGGAATGAATCTACCCACTGCTAAAACCTCATGTGAGAGTTTGTATGACTATTAATATTATAACCCCAAAGTAATATCAATGTCTCTGCCTGTCTCAGTACCTCCCGTCCCAGTTAAGACAAAGGAGGGAGTCATTTGGCAGAAAGCTACACCGATTCTCTGCTCAGCTCTCCCCATGGAAAAAAGGTGGGTGGGGAGGCAAGGTAGCAGGTGTACAGTAGATTCGTTTGTGAGAGAGCAAAGGATGGTTGGGGAATTCATTTAGTTAGCTTTTTAGTATGGACTGACCTGCTATGCACTTCCTGAAGTCATACATGAAAACATTGACCCTTCAATGTTCTCATACATGTATGACTTGAGTCTTAGCGTGTCTTTTAATTTTGTAATGCAGTTAGTCCAAAAGAAGAAAAAAGAGGGCAAAATATTGTACAAAAAGGTTGAACTCAGGGAGAAGCATTTGAAAAAAATATGGAGGGAAATAGGAAACATAGATAGGTATTTGTGCAGTCTTTTTAGTGTTGCAGACAGATGTGAAAGTGGATACCATAAATCTATTGTTGAAAGATGCAAAAGTGAAAAAATGCAAAAGTGAAAAGATGGGTTTGTCTGTCCCTACAGAAAGCCATTGCATAATAGAGAATTTTAAGAACCTTCCAGTATAAAGCATTCCCAGCCAGTCCTTCAGCGACCCCTCAAGTTTCTCTCCATTTCAACTGACACAACCTACCAGTGAGTCAAAGGCCATCTAGTAGCAGTAGAAAAAGGAAGATTGCTACAGTGTGAGTCCAGATTATCCAGAAGAGATGTAACTTTGTCTCTGCACATGGCCCATAGGTGTAAACTGCACAAAAAAGCACAGCTAGGCTTGAAGATTGGTTTCCTTTTCAGTAACTTGCTGCTCTATCTACAAACTTGCACTAAGAGGGTGATTGCAGGACTTCTGAAATGCAATCTTACAACTAACAAATAGTTTTTTAAAATGCAGAAGGAATCTCAAATTTGGATAGCAGTCAGTTTATTAATCTTCAGCTGTTAATCAAACAGTTAAATGTACCATTTTGAATCACAACAATAAAAAGGATACAAAAGAATATGACATAACTTGCAATTAGGTCTAGCTACAAAAAAGCTATTTTGCTAAAATTAAAGAGCAGTTTTAGGGACTAGTCTAATTAAAATTAGAGTATTTTGGCAAATACAGATTTCTGTGGTTTAGAGAGTTGCTTGGACATCATGTTTGGCAAAATTATGCCCGCACAATTTTATGGATGTTAGCTCCAGTACAGTTATTTTAATTTTATGTTTGAAACTGCACATTAATGGGAGTGATCTCTGAAGAATAGAGCACTAACCTTGCAAAAAGTGAAACCTAACTGAAAAAGGAGATTACTAAAAATGCATGGGTGCCTTGAGCTTTCTTCTGCAGTCTTCAGATTGTTTAACCAATTTGGAGCTGTATCTAAAGACGAGATTATCTGTGATAAACAATGGACACCAGGTTCTCAATTTTTCTGAGTAACAGTTACCCACTCAAAATCAATCTACAATATTGAATTTGCTAATTACAATAGCTGTGTCTAGCTATATTATTTAAAATGTTAATACATTTATTTAAGGGGATGTTTGTTAACAAATTTTGAAAACTGTTTTCCATTTGTTTTATTCTACAATGAACATACTAATTTCTATAGATAATATATCACTACTGTAAAGCGAAAAGAAATAATCTGAAATTCTCTAGGTGGCACTGACCCAACTGAACAATGTAGGGTACAAGTCATTAGACTTGCTGTCATAAAATGGCAGTATCTTAATTTATTAGTTTACCCTCTTTTCTAATCAAAACTTTTCAAAGGGCAAGGTACTGTTTTCTAACATGCAATACTCAGTAACAGAAGGAGCAGACTACATCTTTATCACCATGATTTTAAATAATCCAAATTGCACATTTTTGATAACACAAATATTGCAACATCTAAGTGATTTTGTTCCGTCGAGGAAGTTCAGGATAATCTTCAGGTAGAAGAATGTGATGCCGACATGTTGGACAAGTATTGTGCTCCTTGATCCATGGCCCAATGCACTTAATAAAAGCATAAGAAAATGTGTGAGGTGGTACTTTTTCTAATTACACTTCCGAAAGCACTCTTAAAATAGTTAACCCTCAAACATTCTGCTATCTAGCAGTATTTCAGCATAATTCTAAATAAATTAGGCTGTGAAGTGAAATAATTTCAAATTAATCATTTAAATTTGAAAATAATTTGTTAGTCTTTTTCAATTTAGCTTTCACAGAAATCAAGCTTACAGCAGCTATTAGAGAGTATTTGAGACCTTAAAAACTGCCACTGCACATCTGAGTCATACAATATTTTCATTCAGATTGCAAGGCATAGTCATGATCAATACCCACACAGCCAAACAATGTAAGGGTTGGCTGAGCATAATTCAGTAGCATATTAAAAGCCTAAGTTGCTTTATTTGGCATGAACTGTAGCCCACATTATCAGATGACACTGAGTACAGCATTCAGTTGCCAGGTATTTATCTTGGCAAGGAGTGGAGGGTGGTGTAAGGAGATGAAAGAATGAAGTAACTGACGGCTTAATAGCCACTGAAGTAACAAAAACATCAAGCATATCAACACATTTATTGTGATGAATAATCTTTGTCCACAATATAATCAATACGTAGAGTTTAACCCTCACCAGAGCTGCTAGGAAGAGAAACAGAAATATTACGGGCAAAGAAAACTACCAAATAGTGGGCATAAATAACAGTGGGGTGGTCATACAAACAAGCCTGCCCAGATGAACTGGATAACATACAGACCAAATCAGTTCTGACTCCTGTCCTCTGAAGGTGCTAGCCACAGAGACTGGCAAAATGTTAGGAAGAAAAACCTTAAGAACACGGCCAAACAGCCCGGAAAACCCACAACCACAATCAAATCAGTTGTGCTTGCCACTATAATGCAATTAGCATAAATTTCAGCAGTAAATTGCCACAAGAAGTAAGAATAGGCATTTGTTGTTGTATGCCGTCTACAATTTCTTGTGGCAATTTTTGCTCAAAGCTGCTTCTCTCCAAGCATATACAACTGAGTATTCCACTTACCAGTTTGTGAAATCTGTGTCCACAATCCAGCACATGCAACTGTTCTGAATTTAGTTCCTCATGACATATTACACAGGGATCATTATCCTATAGGAACAAATGCACATACAATAACTTAAAACTTTCAGTTTCATAAGTCATGCACAGATGTGAAATAAGTTGCATTGTGGATAAATTTTTATTGCCCACTAGGAGAGTATAAGGTTCCCAAGGTCCCCTGTCAAATGTGAAATGGTTTAGGAAAAAACCTGCAAGATGGCAGAAAAGATGCTGCCAGAGAACAGAAAATAATAGTATAAAATAGGGGAATTGTTTCAGTCAACATAAGAGGGCTTCCTAATTAAATATTACAGTCATTCTGAACTCTAAGGCTTGCACTGAGAAGAAAGCCTATATTCAGTTTAATTTTAGAAAGCTACCATACTTTTTAATATATACAACTCCCCAACGTATATGATGACCCCCAATTTTGACCCTTGCCAGAGGTGGAGCAGCAGTCAATGGGCAGCCACGAGGGGTGGCCCAGCGTGGCTGCGCCTCTGCCTCCAGCTGTCATCGCCATCCTATCGCCTCCTCCAGCTCATGTCGCTGCCTTGTCCCCTGCCCTAAGGGAGCCCGTGAGTGGTGCTGGAGAAGGGGGTCCGGTGCCGGCGGCAGTCAATGGGTAGCCATGGGAGGCGGAGGCAGCTGCACTTGGGTGCCTATTGACTGCCGCTGCCCCCAGCACCAGTGCCGGGGCTCACCTCCAGCTGACGTCTGTGCTTGGCTGCCTCTTGCGGCTGGCCATTGCAGCCGCCACCGGATTGCCTCCTCCAGCGCTACTCGTGGGCTCCCTCCGGGCAAGGGATAAGGCAGTGACGTGAGCTGGAGGTGAGCCCCAGCACTAGCTCCTTCGCCTCCGCCTCCTTCCGTGTATAAAATGACTCTAAATTTTTCCTCTAATGATTTTAGGAAAAAGTGTCATTTTATACATGAAAAAATACGTTAATGCAGCATATTTCAGAATAAGCAAGTCAGAACCATAATTGGATCCAGAGGGTTATGGGACTCTCCAGAACAGAGCGGGTGGCAGTAAAACTCTCCAGTTCCATTCACTGAAGCCTGTAATGATCCATGTCCTTCTCCAAAAGGACTCCTTTCCAAGAGAAGCGCTTTTGAATCCAACCCACAGTCTGCACTTTTAAAAAGTTCATTTATGAAGTAAAGTATCTATGGTAACAATCATCTAAGGAACAGAAATGTCAAATAATATAATGCTCCTGAAGGATAATTGGCTAGTGTGGTGTAGTGGACAGAGTGACAGTCACAGCGAGTCAGCTTAATGGACTTCTGGGCTCTGGAATGTTCCAAGGAGTTTTGTGCAGGCGCAGAAAGAACCAACATGTATGAGTCAAAGAGACCACAAAGAACTCTGGTGTGATTCTACCCGTTTGGAAACTGTATGGTTAAAGTTACTTAGGCTGCATATAATATGTATAAGGTTTGCAGATAAAAGTTTTAAGTGCAATATATAAGTGATTCATCCCAGCTACCACCCATCCCATTACAGTGGTGCCTCGCAGAACGAGCGCACCGTAGAGCGATGAATTCGCTCTACGGTGATGCTTTTTCGATCGCTAATGTGATCGCAGAGCGACGGCCCCAATGGGCGAAAATCGCAGGGCGAAGGGCGGTAAGCGGTTCGCTTACCGACCTTCGCTTTGCGACCCGCCGATCAGCTGTTCCGAGGCAACAAAATGGCCACCGGAACAGCCAAAATGGCCACGCGCAGCGTTTTCGCGTCCTTAAGTGGGGGAGGGCGCGAAAATGGCTGCCGGCCATTGAAAAACTTCACCAAAAGGTGAGTAAATCAGCCGATTGGAACGCATTAAACTAAGTTTAATGCATTCCAATGGCTTTTTCTTACCGCTCAGCGATGTTTCACACAGCGAGGGTTAATCCGGGACGGATTAACCTTGCTGTGCGAGGCACCACTGTATATATGTATAAATACATCAGAATACTTCTCACAGATCATTGCACTAACACAAAAGACCTACAGTGGAATCACTTGATTTCTTCCACTTGGACTTTGATGTTCCTCCAACAGTTTTCCAAGGAATCGGAACCAATGGAGGTGTGAGAGTTTTCTTTTTATTTTCATTAGCAAGCTTAGATTTTGGCAGATTGGGCATTTTTTGTTCTGACATTTTCAGTGCTGGTTGAGTCTGACTTCCATTCTGTCTTGAAGCAGTAGGGGCTGGATTGTCTATATTCCCTGAAGAGGAACCCTAAAACAAGAAATGAGAAGGGCAGGTAATGGTTTCTTAATTTACAACCATATTCTTCCTGCTGTTCAGTGCTAACAAATAAAGATTAGAACAATATCTGAAGAAGCCATTCCAAATCACTATTTAACATGAAAGGCAGAACACACATACAAAAACAAACTAGAATATATATTATACAAGATCAAACAATTCTACCTTTTTCTTTTTTGGGTGATCCAGAATAAATTCTGTTACTCGGCAGAGAAGATCACCTCCACTCAGTTTATTTTTACTCTTCACTTTAACTTCTTTTATAAAGTTCTCAAGATCTGTCCTGCCAAACAGAAGAGGAAGAAAAAAGCAGTTATGCTTAACAAAAGTCTAAACTAACATTTATTTCCCCAAGCTGCTTCAAAAGAGTTTATGCAAGTTCTAGGTAGTGCATAATTGCATAATCTATATCCACACACTCAATTTAGATAATAATCTGGAAACTAAGAAATATTTGGAAGCAGGAATAAATGTGAGAAATAGGCTCACTGACATTCAAGATCTAAAAACTGAATCTTGAAATGACTCCTTAACTTTCCCCAACCCAGTATAAATTGCTCTCTGTCACATTTTCACAAAAAGGATGGCCAAAATCCAGCAGTAAGTTGGAACTAGAGTAGGCTCACTGAGTTAATGAAACTTACATAGGTGTTGACTCTCCAAATTCCCACTGGGCCATCTAATTGCAATCTGCTTATGAGTTTCAGTTAAAGCAGTGTGTTGCTTTTATACTGCCCCATAAGCACTGTTTAGGAAGTTTACAACATAATTATACAAACAAATTTTGCCCCCCTCCTCTAGCAAGCTAGGTACTCATTTGACCAACCTCAGGATGGAAGACTGAGTAAACCTTAAGCCAGTTACCTGAATCCTTTGGGACTGAACTCAGGTCATAAGCAAAGTCTCTGCCACAAGTTCCTACTGTAACATTTCATAAGAGTTGAAATGGGGGGGGCATCTTAACTAGTCAAAACAATAACATAATAGGTGGCTTTCAACTACTGTCTGCAATCAGCTTCCAGAATTTCCCCACATTGAGAAATACCTTGTGTGGCTTGGAAATATAGTTCTAAGTTGATCAATGATGTTTTCAGATGTTTTTGGAAGCCGTGGCTTACTTATACTTTTGATATGGTCCAGTACTGCTGCTGGTGGTGGCTCCTCTTGAGAGCTGTCTTGCAGCTGAGTAGCTTGGTACCTTCTACAATTCTTTGGTGACTGGGGTAGACATACATGATCAGAAAGTGACATTCCTCTGCATTCAGAGGATGCCTCTTCCAAATCTTTGTTTGACAGAAGGGACCTAGAACTACTATTTCCAGTATACACATTAACAGCAGAGAGCAGAGAACTGTCATCATTAGTGGTTGAAACTATAGGGAGCGGTGCTCCAGATGAATACATGAGAATGGCTGGATCGCTAATCAGAGGTCTTTCATGTGCAACCTAGGGAAAAATAATGCCTTAGTAAGCTAAGAAATATTCAACCTAGTACCATTTTGAAGCAAAATAAAACTTTTTTGCCATTTCAAAGTCTGTTTTCATAAGGAACATCTTAATGGCAAAACTGGGTGTTAAAACTTAAGACAAAAAAAGGCTTTATTTCATCTTCATTTACTTTACCCATATGCTAGTTTTCTGTCAAAATATTTTTGCATCGTCTTTCACACTGCTGGAAAACTCATGAATCGTTGAGTCATCATATCCCTCTTCCCACTCCCTACACTTTTCAACAAGGTTGCAATTCCACTACAATCACTCAGTTGCAAGGACGGTAGGAGAAGTGGAGAAGAAAAAGAGCTCTTCACTCACCCTACCACCTGTCCCAGTTATACAGTGGTGCCTCGCATAACGTTTTTAATTGGTTCCAAACAAAAAAACCTTATGCGAAAAAAACTTTATGCGAAACACCATTTCCCATAGGAATGCACTGGAAACCGGTTAATCCGTTCCAATAGGCACGGATTGGCGTCCTTAAGCGAAAAAACCCATAGGAAACATTGTTAAACGATACAATGTTTCCTCCATTGGAATGTATTGAAGCCGACTCAATACATTTCAATGGCTTTGCGAAGTCAATTTTTGCAAATTTAAGTGTGTCATAAAAGGGTCAAAAATGGTTTTAAATGCTTGGATTAGCTTCTGCACCCTCTAAAACGGATGCAAAAGTTAATTTGGCTTTGATCTGACTTTTCGTTAATTTATGGTGATTTTTTTCCCCCCAACTTTCGACAGCTGTCAAAATCTGACAGCTCCATTGTTTCCTATGGGGGAGAAAAAAATTCACAAAAAATTAACGAAAAGTCCGATCAATGCCAAATTAAGTATGCACACAATTTAGAAGGTGCACTAACGATTCCAAGCATTTAAAACCGTTTTCCAACATGTTAAGACACTTTTGTAATTGAAAAAATGAACATTGTTAAGTGAAGCAGGGGACCTAAAACCAAAAACGTTAAGCGAAGCATGGTCCCAAAATCGCTATGTGAAAATCGCCCATAGGGAAAAACGTTATACGAAGCACAATCTGACTCTGAAAAAATAAACGTTAAGCGAAAAAAACGTTAAACGAAGCAAACGTTATGCGAGGCACCACTGTAGTTGCAAGATAGCAGGTCCAGATGTGGCTGAGAAAGAACCACACCACTTGCATGACACAGGACTTATTGAATAAAACGATGATGAATGGGACGTAGTAGATCATATGGAGAAAGCACCACATGACCACAGCAAAGGGTGACCAGAATGGCTCTCAGGGTTCCAACTGAAGCAGGTATTCTTTGAAGGTCTGGCCATGCTTGTACACCTCTGACTCCAGGCAGAGAGAAACTGCTCCATAGGTAGTAATGCTTCTCTTTTAGGAGCATATTCATTCTAGAACTTACTAAGAATTTGGAGCAGGTGGAGAGGCAAGCCCTCTCTCCTCCCTTCATGCTAGAAGCTAGGAGAAGCTAAGTGAGGAAGCAGCAAACTGAGTAAGAAGTCCCCTCCTTTCCAGATGCATAGCTTCTCAGGAGAAGCTACAAGTACCTTCTTACCAACATTTTTAGGGGAAGTAGCCCAGATTATATTAGTAGAGACACAAATAAAAATTAATGAAAAAATTTAGGTTAAAGAAAATAACAGATTTTAACTGCTAAAAAGCAGTGAATATAACCCAAAATGCCCACTGACATGAAGGATGGGGAAATTCACACTTCTGGCTCATTTTCACAATTACAACACTCCACAGCTCTTCAAAACAACAGAATAACGGTTCCAGAAACTAGCTCCCAGGGACTGAGCTTCTTCACAGTGAAAAGCAACACTAGGGGGACCATTCAAAGAGCACAGTGATTCAAGTTAGACAGCCTAACTTTTCTGATATATCTGTAATAATGAAATATGTATGGCCAATTAACTTTTGATGCAAAACAATTACATAGTACTTACTGACGACAGACTATCAGGAGGTTGCAGTTCTGCAATTTCCACAGCAGAGATACTGTTTAGAAGGGCACCATTTTTCACCATACAAATTCTTTTGTCAAATTCATTCTACAAAAAGGTAGGAAGGATATTCAATACAGTAAGATTTCAAATCTCCAGAAAGAGCTAACTGTGTAACATTACTAAGCTGAGAGTCAGAAATTCAAATCTGGCAATACAATTGATACACCTGTATACCTGATCTCTAGGTGAACATCACCGGTGGAGCTATCCCTAGCCTCATAGAGATCTTACTAGCCTCAAGCAGAATTCTAATAATCAAGTCCTAGTTTCAGCGTCCTCCTATTACCACAGCTTTAGGACACATGCAATGCTCAAGGATAAAAATGGTGTGGATGTCCATGAATAGAAATACACAATCAAATCTTGATTTAATAAACTGAAGAGTTGGAAACAATATATCTTAGTTACCATCCTTTGCCAGCAAGGGGGAGATTACTGACAGAAAACAGCTGGGACAAATATTAATCCCAGGTCCTCCTGTCTTCCACTGCCTCCCAGAGTTTGGTGAAATTCATGTTGGTAGCTTCAATGACACTATCTAGGCATCTTGTCCTCTGTTGTCCCTTTCTCCTCTTGCCCTCACACTTTCCCAACATCAGGGTCTTTTCTAGGGACTCTTCTCATATGACCAAAGTACTGAAGCCTGAGCTTCAGGATCTGTCCCTCCTGTGAGCACTCATGGTTGGTTTCCTTCAAAATGGATAAGTTTGTTCTTCTTGCAGTCCAGGGGACTCTCAAGAGTCTCCTCCAGCGCCATAATTCAAAAGCATCAATTCTTCGGCGGTCAGCCTTCTTTATGGTCCGGCTCTCACTTCCATACAACACTACTGGAAAAACCACAGCTTTGACTTTTGTTGGAAAGGTGATGTTTCTGCTTTTTAAGATGCTGTCTAGGTTTGTCATCACTTTCCACCCAAGAAGCAGGTGTCTTTTAATTTCATGGCTGCTGTCACCATCTGCAGTGATCATGGAGCCCAAGAAAGTAAAACCTGTCACTGCCTCCAGATCTTCCCCTTCTATTTGCCAGGAGGTGATGGGACCAGTGGTCATGATCTTAGTTTTTTTGATGTTGAGCTTCAGACCATTTTTTGCACTCTCCTCTTTCACCCTCATTAAGAGGTTCTTTAATTTCTCCTCACTTTCTGCCATCAGATTAGTATCATCTGCATATCAGAGGTTGTTGATATTTCTTCCAGCAATCTTAATTCCAGCTAGGGAGTCTGGCCTTTCGCTTGATGTAAGTTAAATAAGCCGGGGCACAATATACAGCCTTGTCGTACTCCTTTCGCAACTTTGAACCAATCAGTTGTTCCATATCCAGTTCTACTCATTCAGTGCAACTTTTTATGAGAATTAGTACCCTGGGCTTTTCAGGAAGCTGTATTTAACTGCAGCTTCTCTAACCTGGACAAAGTGAGAAGGAAACTGCTATCTGCAGATGAATGGAGAATGCTGGCACCTCAGCTGATCTAACCATAAGCATTATCAATACAGAATAATCTACAAAAAGTCCACATCTACTAAGAGAAACAAAGAATCTTTGTCTTAGAAGATCTAATATAGTAGACATACCTCAATTTTTCTAATTTCTTCCTTGATATTAGAAATAAAGGTCTCCCAAGCATCAATTTGTTGTTTTGATTGTGGCATTGCCGACTGACTGAAAAAGAAATCCACACACTTTTAGTGCCATGATCATCTGACATTAGAAGCAACTTCAAGAAAAATGAAATGCTACCCAAAATGACAGTCAAATGATTTTATCCATCAAAAACACCTGAATTCTACTGGTCAAGCTAAGAAAACTAGTTCAACACAATTCATAGTCAAGATTCCAAATATACTTTCTCTGTCCCTGGAATAAAACAGGCATGGCTAAAATAGAGTGGTTACCTACCTGTAACAATGGTTCTTCTAGTGGCTCTCTATGAATCCACACAACTGGGATTCTAGCTGTTGGAGCTTCCTAACCTTCTCTGAGGGGAGCAACCTGAGACCATGAGCGCTATTTATCATGGAATTTAGATGTGAAACATGTTATGATGGCTACAAGTAACTTCTGAGATAAATCTCTAAGAAGCCATGCTATTCCAGACAAATATCACCTCCAAGTCCTGAAGGGTTCCTGGAAATGAGATTCTTGAGATAATGTATCATCTGCAAATGGAGCTGTGTCACTGAGACGGATATCAGCTTTGGGAAGATTCATAAGGCTAAGACTAAATGGGATAGCCTTTACTGGAAGTGAACTTTGTGGACAAATTACACAAACTGCAATACTTCGGTAGGATGGGAATGTGAAGATAAGCTTTGGTGAAAGTGACTGAGGTGAAATCATATATCACATTTTCCTCTCTTTGAACCCGAAACTGTTCAGGGGTGATGATGATTGTTAAAATAAAGAGCAAGGAGTTAAGGCCGATTGCAAGAACATTAAAGATATATGTAGGCTAGAGCTGAGAGGCTAAACAGAGGTCTAAGCTAAGCATAAGAAGGAGAAGCTATTTCATTAATTCAGGATGGAAACAAAATGAGATATATGTATCTAGATGGGAGAGAACAAGGCAAAAAACAAAAGTCACACCAGAGTGGATTTGATTTAAGTTTAGAAAATTGTTTAGATCATGATTTATATCAATCTGATTTTTATCCACCCCGAGTCAGTGTTCTTGCCTCCTCAGCAACAGGACAAGATAATGCACTGCTGGGCGTTCCCTAGACCAAAGAAGAGAAAATTTCTCCAGACAATTCTACCACCACAGATAGGACAGGGCTGAATAAAAAGATATTCACCCCATAATAATTGCTGTTAACTGTGAAGGCACTGTTACATTGCTCCAACTGTCAGTTATCACTCGAGCAAACATATAAATAGTTCAGCCATTCCTTTATGTGATTCTGTACACAGCAATACCTATCTGTATCAACAAATAAAAATATACTTGTCTGTATCACTCAGTCAAATTAAATGTTACATAACTCACAGAAGAAACTTTACAAGTAAATATGAAAAAATCTAAATAAAAATCTGAATCTAAACCCAGGACCAATGATGAAACAATCATGCTACTGCCATACAACTTGACTAATCAGTTGTTTAATATGCCTTCCTTCTTTATACAGTATCAGTGCCAGTCTGAGCAAAGATAAATAAAATACTGGTGGTCAGTTGTATACTGGTGGTATTGGTTACAGTATACTCATGTATTCAGAGACATACCTGGTCATGAACTTTAGATATTTAAGATTAGCTTCTGCTTGTGTAGCTCTTCTATGTAATTTATATAATTCAGATTCTTTCCAGTTTTCAAGCACTGACACCTAAAACAAAATAGACTTGGTTTAAATCAAAACATCTGATTGAATTACATAATGAATCACTCTTAACCCTATGCAGTATAACCAACCTTAAACATTTCCATTAATTGGTCTGCCCTATAATAATGTTAGATTTAATGATCTTTCAGTGCAGGGTTGCCACTGAAATTTTATTTTTCATTTTCCTGACCACCATTCATATATAAAAATGAATAGGTTGTGTTGCATTAATGGAACCAATAAGGCACAGACCACATGACAGTACTTGCCTTTGGATTAGTACTAGTGACCCTAGGATTCAGGTTTATGATTAAAAAATGTGACGAGCTCCTTGAATAATAAGTTATTCTTCAAACTGAGGGAAATTAAAATAGGCCACTGGAAAATTTCCATGCCACTGGAAGGCAGGCACACCAGCATGTAAATACTAAGATCCACTTGTATTATATTTGTCCAATTCAGCTAATCATTTCTATGATGTGGAACTGGGAAAATATTTTCATAGTGAATATCAATTATCCATACAATCATCTGGTCCCTGTCTGTTGGGAAGGATGGACCCCTAAGATGGGATGCTTCTAACACAGTCAATTCAGTACAGCTGACCAACTGTGTGGCTTAAATTTATGTCTGAAGGGCCAGTCACTAGAGGGGCTTTGCCACCACAGAAGCAAAGGCATCTGCATGTTGTATTAATCTATTGGCTGAGACTCATGTAGTAGCCTTCCAGATTTCAGTTTGGAAGCTTTAGTGCTGCCCTAATTGTTACGGTCTTAGTTCCCATATGAGCAGACCATGACCTGAGAAGTTGGTGAAGTTCATGAGTCATAAAGATGCAAGTCTATTAGCACTTGGCTGCCACAGAGAGACGTGGAGGCTTTCTATCGATTGTAATGGGATGGAATGAAAATATAAAGGGCCAAGAAATGAAAAGTGCTGCCCCACAATTCTAGCAAGCCTCATCTTCTCTCCCTTCTCCTTTTTTTAGTGGCTGAAGAGTGTTCTCACTGTCAGTACTGTGAGACAGCAGAAACTAGAGAGGAAAGGAACAAACAAACAAGAAAAGACTTAAAGAGAAGTTAAGAAAAAATATTCACAGAAAGAAAAATAAGGAAACAATGAGTAAAAAAACTGAGCAGAGTGGGGAAGGATCTGCTGAGTGGAGAAGACTTGCTTAAACATGGAAGAAGTAGAGAATATTAAGGTCATGAAAATTACACCAAAATATCTGCCACCCCTGCTCTTCTGAGCAGCAAGAAATCTTAAAGCTCATTCTCCTACTTTCTACTGGTCAGGTTCTTCATTATAAACTCCATTATTATAATGACTTTTAATATAAAATAGGTTCTAAGGAAGGCTTAGAGATAATCCAAACAAAAATGAAGGCAATGTAGGATGTTTAAAATGCAATACAAAAACATACATGTTTTTCATAACAGTATAGATCATGATCCAAAAGGGTGGTTTGAACCAAATTCTGAAAACGTTGGAAGTTCCACCTGAAGTAGATCCATTAAATCAACAAGACTTGTTACGTTCACTCTTATGCAAGTCCCACTGATTCATTGGATTTATCCTAGGTGAGACCAAGACATCAATTTAGTCCAAAATACTTAGAGATAATTTTATAATTTTAAATAGATAAAATAAATAAAGGCCCAACATTTTATCAATTTTTAAAATGAGGCAAAATAAAGACAAGGAGCATGGAAATCCTGTCATATGGAATATTCTGAGACACACAGAGTATTAGCAAACCCCATATTCCTGATTAGAACATAGTATTACTTCACATATGAAACTTTGGAGAAAGGATGATTCAAGGCTATGGTGGTAATGAAAAATGGGAAGATTGTGAGATGTAGGGAAGGTCTACCAAAGTATATTTTACCTCTGCTGCAACTGCTCGCTTAACACATTCCTCATGGTCATCATGGCTCTTCTGTGTAAATGTCTCCATTTTAACTTTTTCATTTTCAAACTTATTGCTGCAGGGTAATTTCAAAGACTATTAACATAGATTGGTACATGTTCCTGAATGTCCTTCAGAACACAGTTACATATCAAAAACAGTTCAGCATACCGTTAACTACTTGTACATGAAGTCTGATTAGGACTTATCAAACCTGCTTGACGAATCTGCTTTACAAGTTGGCCACCATCCCTTTTAAAATTTAACAGGAAAACAGTATGGTTCAGGATCTTCTCACTATGCCTTCCTTGGATAAATCCTGAGCACTCAAGGGGAGTTATAAATTGCCCAGACTCCAATAGGAATTGTGAGAGCTTGTAATGTCCAGCTGAAGACTACGTAATAAAGAAAGTGTAAGCTCACCTGCTCTCAAGGAATTCATCCAAATATAGTTTGTACTGCTTGTCCTTTTCATCAATATTTCTCACATATCTGTTTTGTTATACAGAGATATTTTAGAAAATGAAGACTAATGCCAGAAAATACACATTTCTAATCAATGTCAATTAACAATAAAACTCAAAACTCAACCAGCCATTTCTCCCAAAGCTCTGATTTTTTAAACATAAGTTCTTTGCATCAAGAGGTGTTACAAGAACCAAATAATTCAGGAAAAGACCTAACAGACCAGAACTCAATCCAAAGAGAATGGATATAGGTCTAGATCAAGACAAGTCAGGAGTTTTATTTTTTAAAAAGGGGAGAGAGAATATTTAGACCGATGGACAAATCATATTATTTCATAACAACTGGAATCTGCCTCTGCAATCCATTGTAATGAATTCAGATAGATTAAAGGTAAAGGTTCCCCTTGACAATTTTTGTCCAGTCGTCTTCGACTCTAGGGGGCGGCGCTCATCCCCGTTTCCAAGCCATAGAGCCAGCGTTTTGTCTGAAGAAAATCTTCCGTGGTCACATGGCCAGTGCGACTTAGACACGGAACGCTGTTACCTTCCCACCGAAATGGTCCCTATTGATCTACTTGCATTTGCATGCTTTCGAACCACTAGGTGGGCGGGAGCTGGGACAAGCGACGGGTGCTCACTCAGATTAATAACCAACTAATCAGATCAGATCCCAGTGGGAGCTAGATAAGAAACAAGCCATAAGACCAGATTAATAGGCAGTCATGGATCAATATCAGCCATTACTAGAAAGAGTATAGGCACAGGAAGTTGAAGAAAGCAGGAGCTTCACAAAACTACTCATTTAAGCTTAGGGCTAGGCAACTGAGTTCCCAGAGGTGGTCAAGTTCCAACTGCCACCATCTATCAGCACTACCTGTGCTCATTGGGACTGATGAGAGCAACAGCTGAACGATATTGCTAAGGCTACAAGTTAGCCATCCTAATAATCCTATATAAGATACTGAATCTCAACAGCTTGTTTTCCTGTCCCCCTACATCAAACGGGTTAAAGCATTTCAATAATAAATAATTAAGGAGCAGGTAGACAGTTCAGATTTTGTTTTTAGGAAAACAAATCTGTCTAAACTTGGGTGCATGTTTACTGAAGGCTGCTCATCCGTGGAACTGCAAAAAGGAATACAGATCTTTATGGTTCTTTATATCAACACTTGGATTTGGTAGCAGGAATAAGTATCACACAAAAAAATAAAATCATCAATTGCACTAAGGGGGATGGTTGACAGTTTGAAACATCTGTTCAGATACAAGTTGAAACCCATAAGAATGAGCAGACTTACATTCCCACTCTGTCTATCTCCCAATCCATTATATTTTCAATTTAAGAATAAACTTACATTTCATTAGTTTCTGTTAACTTCTTTACTTTATTTCTTCTTGCTTTTAATTCTTCTTGATGTTCTTTTTTCTCCTGTTGCCATTTTTTAATTTCCATTTCTACATTTTGATGAAACCAATCTAGTTCTCTCTTACTAAGCTATAAAGCAGAGACAGAGAGAGACAGAGTATTTTTTAAAGATATTTGAGTACTGTGAGGATGAAATTACAAAATAAATATTTCAGAATTATTTTAAGATATATTTCTAATTTTGTTTTCAATAATGATTAAAAAGGAGTAAATGTAGTCAAAAGCCAATGAAAAATAAAAACACAGAAAGGAGGCTTCTTATCTGATTTGTTTCCTTAATGCCATAGTGAACACTTGTACAGTTATTCCATTTCAACCAGAACCTATCCTATAATGGAGAGGGAATGCTATAAGTGTGCTTCGTGCTGAGACTCTGGATCCAAAAAGTAGAGACTGGATCAAAAAACG